CTCTCTTTGGTTCTTGATACCTATCCCGTCAGATTATAGATCTTACAAGAGCTTGAAACTTACATTTGAACGTAGACCCCTGCAAATGCTTGGTAGTCGAAGCAATATGCGGGGATTTTCTTGAATTTCTCTTTCAATCCGGAAGTGATATCTCCTCAAATTTATCTAAAATGTTTCACATCTTATAGACAACCAAGATATGCCGCGAGTGCCCATGTGGCTGCATATCATATGCAGCTTTATGTTTTGTGGAGCTTCGATGGGATGGGTGGCGCGTGGCCTGGTTTCCAAGCACGATAAACCTTCGTGCCTGGTTAATAGGAATCCGACGGCGCGGAAGCCGAAGCAGCTTCCATTATTTCCTGCTCCTGTGGTTTCTGAATCGTCACAAACACATTTTTTACGCAGCAATGCACAATTCTCGGCAAAGGAAACTATTGAGTGCTCCAATAGCGCAATGAAGCCTATCGTGTGTGACGTAGCTATCGTAGGTGGGGGCCCGGCTGGGTCTGTCATGGCAGCTTTACTTGCACAGCAGCATGAACTCAAAGTAGTAATGATGGATCCCAAGTTAGATCAACGGTGGATCCCCAACTATGGTGTTTGGGTCGAGGAATGGGAAGGTGCGTAGCCGTAGTTTGATTCTCTTTATCGCGAGAGGACGGATTCGAATATGTCTTTTCTCCTCCCCCAACTGGGTCGTATCACGATAGTTTGCCCGGCGGACGAAACATCTAAAGTCCCTATCAATCTTTCGTGCATAGCTCTTGAGAAACTTCTAGGTTTCAGTTTAAGAAGCTGCTTGATGAAGACTTGGCCTAATACTGATTTATTTTGTGGTGGCAGCCATGGTATTCCGGTAGACGAGCGGTTGCGAATAAAGAGGGCCTACGGCAGGGTCGACCGGACGGTAAGATTGTGAGACTCACCCAAATAAAACACAGGACTGTAGATGTTGAGCTCTGGGCATTGCAAAGAGAGAACACAGTGGCGTGAGTTGACACAATGTCGTATTCCATGGTACTCCTGCATCGATTCACAACTGGCAAATGTCTCTTTCATGCTGTACTCATTTTACGAATACATTCATGAAGGCGCTTAAAAATGAGCTGCGAACACGCGCTTTGGATGGCGGCGCAATCTTGCTGGCGAAAGCATTGGATGCGGAGTCAGTGGTTCACGATGAGGAAGGATCACTCCTTCGTCTTGACGATGGGACTCGTGTAAGGGCACGCTTTCTACTTGATTGTTCAGGCTACCAATCTCGGTTGGTGACGCTTGATGGAACTCATGATCCTGGTGTGCAGGTACGTGCATCATATTTGTCTGGATAAGGACGCATGAAAAGATAGACATGGGCTAAACATTGAAACGGACTGCACTTACATGTTTAACAGATTGCCTACGGAATAGAGTGCGAGGTTGACATGTGCCCATACGGAGAGGACGCAATGACGTTGATGGATTACCGCACCGACTATCTCGACAATCAGGCGGCCGAGGTCAGGCAAAAAGGCTGATGGAGGGACTGCCTAGCTACGTAGTGATTTGACAAAAAGTTTCCCGATATTCCTCATCACCATAAAGGTGCAGATGACGGCTGCCCGCGAGCCAACCTTCATGTATGCCATGCCCATGGGTCCAACGAGGGACGGCAAAAAGACAAAAGTTTTCTTCGAGGAAACTTCGCTGGTTGCCAGACCGCCGATGTCTTTTGACGAGTGCAAAAAGCGGATGGAGCTTCGGTTGAAACATTTGGGTGCCACAGTACTCAATGTGGAAGAAGAGGAGTTTTGTTACATTCCCATGGGTGGAGCAATACCTGTCCGCTCTCAACGAGTCGTGGCATTCGGAGGGGCGATGGGCCTCGTTCATGCAGCGACAGGATATCAGATATGCAGGTCGATGGCTGCTGCCGGGCCTACAGCGAAGGCGATCGCTGACGAGGTACATTGGAGTAGAGCGCTATAGTACACTGTACATTCTATGCGTCGAGCCTGTGATGAAACACGTTCCATTGTAAATCAATTACTCTTCACTTTAACTTTTTTTCAAAAAATAACTTTTCTTACCTATTCTCTCCTCTTTTAGCTCAAGAAGGCTTCATACAACCCGGATGCTGCCGCGCGGGCGGTCTACGATTCTGTGTGGACTCGGACCACACGGCTACAGGTGAGGTTGGATTCAGCAGAAGATATCGGTCATTATCCCGTCTTTCTGCTCACCAAAGGATATGCGGAAACGATGTCCTTATTTTACATTTATTCCGAACACGATAGCGGGATTTTGTCATTTTTGGCGGGGAATTCCTTATGGCGCAACACGCTGATAATTTGCGTGGATTCTTTGACTCTTTCTTTCGTTTACCCTCGCTAATGTGGACGGTAAGTTCGATAGGGTCATATTGTGTACCGGGCTTTATTTTTGTATTTTATTCATTTCAATATCTGAGACAGCAGTCTCGAGAATCATTGGCTTTCCTCCCTGTCACCTCATGTAAAGCGTTGCTCGTGTAAGACGCTGCGCTCATCACGCCTTCATTCTATTTCCCTTCAACTAAAAGGGATTTTTGGCGGGATGGCCGGGTCTACCAAATAACGAACAACACGAGACCTGGGATAAGCGTCTTGAGTTTGGTATTAGTTTGTGGCTTTTAGCTCCACTCAGTCTTAAGTTAGCACTTGCTGCAGCAGGCGTTACGAAGGGAGGTTTACCTTTTATTCGATCCGTCACCCCACTGGCTGACTTGCCGTCGTTTTTTGAATTAGAGAAGACCGGAATGTCGGACAGGTCTGAGTTGATGAAGTTTGATAGCATAAGCTGAACGATTAGCTGAATGTAAAAGATAACATAAAATATGACACATGAGCTTCAGGAGTTTATGACGCTTGATAAAATATGGTTCAGGTACTATTTTATATTTCTTCGTGCTTTGTGCCCAAAATTTCGAATGTTAGTGCGAAGCAATAACATTCAAGAAATGGACAATGTCCTCTTCGTCTTGAACCCCGAGAAGCGTACCGCAGGTAGCGCATGCGACGGTTTGTGCCGGGGGTTGTTCGCCTTGCGAATTTACTTCCGTTCGTTCAGACTCCTGCTTTTTCGGCACCGCATCCGCACTAGTCATGCAATCTCCTCGTCCTTCTGATTTCATTGTCAGTGTAGCACTTGATCGAAAGGGCGCCTCCGTGCTCACTTGACTTCTATTTTGAAACCAGTCGCCCGAGTTCAGAGCCCTTCCAAAGACACAGTTTGACACGAAGATGGCACGATATTCTATTTTTCGTGTCCTGTGTCTGGCGGGATCATTGAAAGAATTGTAAGGAGGAACGAGCTTGAGTCGCTCTTCAAACTTTATAAAACCTAGACGTATAGCAGTAAGACAAGTCTGCGTACTCTTACTATATCTATGATACAAAGCTCTTGATGGGCGAAGACAATGGATACATGCATCTATAGAAAAAAGTAAAAAACAAAATGTGACCCATCCTGATACGATAAAATGAACATGAAGCAGATCGGCCGCGACGCACAGCTTGAAAACTCTGGCACCCAACTTCCGACGTATGAATGTGACAGAAAAACTCAGGAAGCATTCTTGAATTTTACCAATCGCATGAATCGCAATGCTTACTTCCCCACAGACCTCTGACATGCCATGCAGACAGTAGTAAAGCAAAGAGGGCAACTCAAAGTTGCATCTGTCCGCTGCTCTGCCGACAACTTTCCGTGCCTCGTTCGTGCCCAGTGCTTGTCAATCCATCTCTGGTCTGCTCCATCCGCATCCTCATCATATAGATCGTCCACAACAGCAGTGCGATCTGCCATAGAAAATTATCACAGTGATCGAGAGATGTGAGTGAGATATGCATTATTTTTACGTAAATACAGTGTGCACTTACTTACCTTTGTCGGGATCACGGGAGGAGCTCTCGATCTCCTGTAGGACCACCATTACAATGGTCAACAGTCCTTGGGGTCAATACAGCAGTAAAACAAGTGTTGAAAGCTTTCAGGATCTTGTGATAGAACAAGTGTTAGGAGAGCAGGGCGAGGGCAGGACGACGCTGAGTTACCTCCTTCACTGTACAGGCCTTATCTTCCTGCCTGCCCGACCGCTCGCTCGCTCGGCCGCGACCTTCCTTGCTGCCGGATGCGTGCGTCTACTCGCGGCCTTGGAGGTGGAAGCCACGCAAGGATAACTTGACGCCGCTCACAAAGGCGTGCTGGCGCACAAGTTATTTGCATGTACCATGTCCTACAAGATCCCGTCAGCCGAGACAGTGCAGCGACAGCAGGAGGAAAGTTTTGGGACGAAAAAGAAAGAGCAAGTGCAACAAGGTTGCCGTTGTTTCGTTTACCGGCCCATGCCACTGCTAGAATTTGAGGCATCCAGGGCGTCCTTCAATTGGCGTTCCCATTGAAATTTTCTTGCTATATGAGTCAAGCTTGATTAAATTGAAAATTCCAGTAAAAACTAACCTTTAAAAGCGCAAGTGCCGGATATACCTTTCCGAGCTATGTCAGATCGACCAATCAACAAGAGGGCCGTATCCTAAACAAAGGACGCGTTAAAAATATCAAAAGTTACACTTACGCTTGGAAGTAATTGCACCTACAAATGCAGACGCATAATTTCTCATCCTACTTTTTGAGAAGTATTCATAGGAGTCACTTCTCACGGCACAAGATCTAGGTAAGAGCCGTCTAACAACTTGACAGATAATGGTCGCGATACGGAGACATAATGTTTGGCACGCAACTCTGCAATTTTTCACAATGGATCATAGTATTGTAGTACTGTACAAAAATGTTTCCTCTTCTTGTTTCCCGGTGTCATTTAGGCCTTGTATATCGATTTTGGTTCAAAAAAGGGGAGAAAACTACATGACGTGGGAAGAATGTTATATTTTAAAACCATCTAATCAACTGCATGGTTTTCTTCTACACAGTCATTTGATATCTTTGTCTTGTCTTTTGACGTTCTGTGCACACTCGATTAGGAGGGGCAGAATATGTCCGCTGAAGACAAGCAAGGACGAAGATGTGGCTTGACGTGCACTGACCTCACGTCGCCATCGACACCAAAGCGCTCTCCAAGTTCGATCACTGGGCAGCACAGATTGCAAAAAGCTGCTAGAATTGTGCAGATGTGGTGGCGAAGATATCGTGCGATCGGTAAAATAGCTGTTTACCTAACCACGCAAGCCTCTCAATTAAGACAGGCTAATGAGGTATTGATGCTGAAATCAAGTACCGGATTTGAGGACGTCCTTAGCAAGATCAGAGACAAAAATATTATAGCGAGCATCGCATGTCTCTTGAATGCCGTGTCAATCCAGGGGCCTGACAAAAAGAGGGGCTCCCCTGGGATGGAAGACTCACAACAGTTCTTCCATCGGGTTCAGGAGCAGCAGGCGCGCAAAATTTTGACCGCAGTTATGATCAAATTGCATCCTGGAGATGTCATAACGACAGATCCATATACGTGCAGCAAAGACCATGGTGAAGAAATGGGTATGGCGGAGTTGGAAGCCCAACTCGTATGCATTGCCGCAAATCTGGTTTTGGATTCAGCGAGCTGCCTCATAAACATGCTGGGTGACCTGGAGACAGGTTACACACCATTTCGACGCAAAGCAGGAGCTTTGGGCCTACTTCGTCTCCGACTCAACACTCTCAACTTTGCACGTACATTTATGAACGCATCCTTGACCACGCTGCAAAATCGCCAGGCGCGCAGTATTTCTTTATCTTTTTTGACCTCGTATGTGGAAGCATACCGGAATTTTAAAGATGCACAGCGCGTTGGAGAGGAAGGGCTTATTGAAGCAGCACGGCATAGCCTACATAAGGTTCATGTGGGCATATGCCAAGTGCTGGGGCGAGAGCTTGCGGAGAAACACTGCCGAAGCGTAGAAGAGGGCATGGACACGGGACGAAAGAATGTTGTGCTGATGCCTTGGGGCATGACTGTAGCATTGCCGCCTATGAGAATGTCGAGCCTTTCTAAGGCTCAAATACCCTCCTCTTCTAATGATTTGGCTATGGTAGGATTGAAAAGTACCAGTGGAAACAGCTATGACATTTCTCCAGGCCTGGGCCCGGAAAAAAGAAAAAGTTCTACCTTGCCTCCGAGATCTGAAGGTGGTAATGAAAATATCAGCACCGCCAGGAGGCTGATGGCCACCACAAATTCCGACGCGAAGGCTGTGGAAAATCCCCCCAGCGCTATTACGCAACCTACGACGGCCGCAAAATTTGAGGCTGAAACAGAGGACGGAGAAACTTCGATCGACACTCAGCCCTCATCCACAATGCTGCTGAATGAAAAACTGGCCCATGAAATCATACTTAACCCAACATTTTCAATCAGCGAGGAGAAAGCGTCAATGTCCGCAGTCAGAGGAGAATTTGGGAATGAAGACCTCGGACACATACGCGACACTATGGAGGAGATCTTTTGGGATCGCTTGGTAGAAGCCATGACACCTCCCCTGCAAGAAGGCCCAAGCGATTTTACAAGCGGTTCGATAGCGCAGATCCGCTTTGGAAGCGGACAGGGCTCACTTTTTGCATGCAAAGTTGAAGCAGTAAATGAAGATGAAACCGTCGACATAGAGTATTTGGTTGATGGCGTCAAAGAACGACGGCCGATCCATCAATTTCGTTTGAAAGACGATCCATTGGAATACGAGCCATTCCTGGCACTTGTAGATGAAGTGCGGGAGAAACTGACGAGTTTGACACCTCGACGTATCGACCTGGCGGAGGAGCTGCGAGCCCACTTAGACAAAAAACTCTTGAGCCAAATGGCTCTTCAAGGTCTCCTGGATGCACCCGCGATCTACAAGTTGTTAAAGTACATATTTGATCATCTCATGGCGCTTCAGGCTCCTGTTAGGGTTGCAGAGACGATGTCTTGGATTTCGGGCTTTGAGAAGGAAGTACATGCATCCATGTCTGCATCGCAGCATGCCAAGTATATCCCGTCGGCCTTCGTTGCGTTGCTCCCTCGCGTGTTTCGAGGTATTTTTGCACGTATAGATGAGACACAACGGGACATTGCTGACGCTCACATACAAATGCTTCGACCTTATCTGGTTCAACATGGCGTTGAATACGAACGAGAAAAATTTGCCGCGCGTTTTCTAACCGGTCAATGGAGGCTTTTAAATACTGAAGCATGGCTCAAAAAGGTATTAGCAAGTCCAGAAAACGCGTCGCACTTATCTTCAATCGCTCAAGGCGATGCAATGGCTCATCGCAACTTATTGTCTAGAGCAATGAAATGTCTCTTGCAACAACCAGTACGCATTGAAATCTGTAGTAACCTTCCCGAGACGCTACGCTATGACGGATTACGTATGACAAAATTTCGGGACGAGCAGGATAGAATCACGCTTGTTGCGGTCTATTCTTCTTTATTGCGTCAGTTTTTAAGTGTACAATGTCCCTCATTGAATTCTCATCAATCCGAATGTATGGGATCCACCATTCTTGCACTGGAGACCAGGTTGTACGTTCTTTTACAAGGAGTCGGAAATACCGTTCTGCTTTCTTGTTTAATGGAGGAGGTGCTTGAATGTGCGAGACAGATCTGCAAAAAAGAGGAAGCAGTCTTCAGCGGGGCTCAAGCCTCCATTTTGCAAGGAATGCTTCACAATGCTGCAAAACCAAAAAGTCCTTTGTTTGACTTGGTTTCAGAGCGCATATCCGCGGTCACAAATCTATATATGTGCGGGGAAGCCCAAAATGCTCATAAGGCCATGACTTGTTTTGGTCTTGCATCATTTCAATCAAAGTTGGAGGTCACAGGTTATGGCTTGCATCGTTTATTCATGCATAATCTAGCCGTACACGGTGATGTATATTCTAAAATTCTTCGCGACGAAGCTTCAATTTTATTATGCGAAAAAGATCATGGAAACTCCAGCCTGATGTGACATTCCTGTATTCCATTGTGCAATCACGATCATTTCGACGTGAAACTTCAAATGTACATCCCACTTTTCTAGAAATTGTCATGAAGTTTTCGTATTTAAGAAACATTTTTTCCTCTCCTGTTTTAGGCAGTTTGACACGTTTCATACATGAAAGAAACCTCTAGAGCAGATACCTTCGAAAATTCTGCTCCCGTGCCGGATGTAATCTCGAAGAATCCAATGAAAGCAACGGGACGCATTTCTATTTCTTCTCTACTAATAGAACAAATACAACAGGAAGTCAGGATTGGGCTTTTAAAGATGTTTAAAGTATTTTCCGGCCTTTTCATGATTGAACACCATACCATGGATACATGAGAATAAATTCGGAAGTGCGAAATATACCTGCCAAAATCATCTACAAAGAGCATTATGTTCGAAATGTGAGAATGTGAACGAGTTGTGTACTTCTTACATTGCTAATCCTCCTGTTGCTCTTTTATTCGCGTATTGTGTGGGGTTCCATTTGTAGTTGCTCATATTCAACTTGAGAGCGTAATCATGCTAATTGCTCAGGCTTTATCTCTTCTAATTTCATCTGAATGTGCGCAAAGATGTCTTCTATTTCCCATTTTTCTTCCCTCTTAATGATTCTTAAAAGCTCTGCTAGATGCTCGAGACCTTCTTTTGCCTGGTCTCCTTTGATAATGCTTTCTGCCACTTTCTCGTGGATAAATCGGTAGTCGTGTTTAGAAAGCTCCAGTGCGGCATTAGAATCTGTCTCTTTTAACATCGACTTGTGTGCATCTAAAAGCTTGGAATTCATCATGTTGAGTCCTAAGGAACCACGATCTATTCCTTCAAGGTTTCTCTTGAGCTGTGTTCCTTCGATTTTCAAGCTCATTAATTTCATTTCAGACTGCTCTTTAAAATTGTTTAAGTGATCATCAAGGAGAAGACTATTTTCGAGCTTCTTGAAAAAAAGATGGGGTTCAGAAATACCAGTTTTCGAAAAAATAATCGAAGCTTTATGCAACCATGCTCGTGTCTTATTTTCATCTGTGCATGTCAACGACATAGCACGGTGAAATGTGGACGGGCTTTCCTCTTTTCTCCGAATGTGCTGGGAAGGAGATGGAAGTATGGAGAGCTGAGTCATTTCTCGACTTGACATGGAAAATGTGGTTTCCGCGGCTGTTTCTAGATTCTATATTATGATATTTTTTTTGGAATGAGGTGAGGATCTTTAGAGGTAAAAGATGATGCACTTTTTCTAAAACCAATATGTTTTATTCGTGCAAAGTGCATATTACGATTGGACTACAGGGCTTTTTCACCTGGCGAAGACGTGCACGGCTATGTAATACTTGGTGCTGCAGGATAAGTGTGTTCTGGATTGCGGAACGAAGTTGATAATAGCCTGAATGGTATGCCTTATACTCGAATTTTTCACCCCAGATCTTGCATTTTAAGTACGAAGCCAAAAGTGTCTCTTGCTGTCAATAAAATTTATTTTGCGTAAAGTCAAATGTTAGTGTTGTATACAAAATACTGCCCCTGACCATGTTGTCTTACACACATTTATCTTTTCCTCAAGCATGTCAATCAGAGTAAAAGAAGTTGGTGGATGACGCTCGCACATAAGCAAGACACCGGCAAGATTTTTATTGCACAGCAGAATTTGATTGTACATGTCTGCTGTTTTGCGAAGTTTTTCATCGGTGAGCTCAATTTTTTTCTTGACATTGACCTGTGGAGGATGCGTAGCATTATTAGGGAAATATAGAATTCTATCATTAAGCATGAAAGCCTAAAAAAGACAAAGAGAGGCGAATTTTTTTGTAGGTAAAGGCTCAAATAATGTGCCAGATTATGTGCTGTTCTTGTTGTTGGTGTAATGAAGTACTAAAATGATTGACGAATAGTGTAGCCAAGCTCACCGATCCCAGACCCACGCGTTCCAAGTCGACCAACTCATTGCTTAAATGCGATAAAGCTCGCTCTTGCCATGCCTTTTGCTGCGCAAGCGTATCGATTTCGTTGCGGTGCAATTGAATGTTGTCACCAAGTTCGCACGCCATCCGGTCCATGGCTCTAGAAGCCTCTTCATTTAGACGCTGATCTTGTTGCTGGTTTTGCTGCTCCACCTTTTTCGGCAGCTGGCCGTATCTGTGCTGCTGTCTGTGCTTGTGATACTGTTGCTGCTGGTGCTGCTGTCGTCGTCGTCGTCGTCGTCGTCGTTGTGGTTGTAGTTGTTGTTGTTGTTGTTGTTGTTGTAGAAGGAGTAGTAGTTGTTGTTGTTGCTGTTGTTGTTGTTGTTGTTGTTGTTGTTGTTGTTGTTGTTGTTGTTGTTGTTGTTGTTGTTGTTGTTGTTGTTGCAGACGTCGCTGTTGATAAGTGCAATAGACTAGTCATATGTTGTCGTATTGAGGCAGCTTATCCGAGATCCTACATACCTTTTGGACGCTTTCCTCGTCACCAGTACGTAAGTACATTTTTCGCTCGGTCTCTGACTTGACAGCTTTGTTTTCATCGACACCCATCAAAGTATCCGCGGATTCGGCTATGCAAACATCAGAAGAGGGCTGATCCTGTCCTTCGAAGTGTCGTACGCTACGAATACCTAAGCTGTAGCGCTCTCCGCAATTTGCAATAGCCACCAAAGGAAATTGAATCCACATCCATCGATTATAAAAATATGTCGAAACGGCCTTCCTGTCATTTGCTATTTCGGCAAGGGCGCTGGGAGATAATGGCGCATTAGCCGTTTGACTCATAATGGCCTCTGTATTACCTTGAAAACGTGGTTCGGTGAGGCGCGCCTCTCCATTGGCATCGATGGCCAAAACAGGTACCCCGATAGACCTCAAATCATCATGGGAAATTGTCGGATGGAGGAATGTCGGCACATCTGCCGAATCTTCATGTCCTAACATTGCATATTCTAGTAGAAATTCTGCTATGCGTAAGACTACGTCGGCCAAGTCTTCATCTCTGGGGTTCTGTTTCTCTCTGTAGTATTCTAAGCTGCGAACATACTCATCCACCACATCGAAATACGCCCGAACACCCTAATATGTTGCGATTGTCAGCAAGGCGAATAAAGGGCTCTAATTCGCATAGCTTCACACAAAAAATCATAGATCTTTTTCGGAAAGGTATTGAATGTGGAATACATAATATATATTATAATAATTGGTGAAGAGCCAGCGGGGCTTGCGTGCATCCTGAAAGACATACACACGCACGACATTCAATCGTTTAGTTCGAAACACTATTTTTTTAGAAAATGGATGATATGTACAAGACAGCTGTAAAGAAACTCTTCACTGTGTTATGATACAGGCATTGTAAAGGAGGGTCTAATCATACCTGATAGTGATTTAAATCGCTGGTAGACTTCGTTCTCGCGGTTGCAAAATACTTCGCAAAAGTTTTACGACATGTCAGGGACGCCCACAACGAAATAAACTCGCTTTTGTGCGCCGGCGTCCACCACATCCTGAAATTTTCAATGTCCACAAGGGCTTCTTTCAATTTCGTCCACAATCCCGCGGCCTTGAGATGGTACGCAAGACATTCAAAATTGCGTGAGCACGTAGGCATTTTTTGAAAGTACCGTGCCATGAGGTCGTGCTGGCGAATATAGGCTTCATTTGTCCCCAGAAATTCATCAAAAATTACCCTTCGAAAAACCTCATGAGAAAAGCTTCTGTTGCATTAAGAAATGAAAATTTCCTGAGAAGAAAGATATTTTTATTATTTCCCCTTACTAGACGTTGTCTTACCGGAAGCCATTCACAACCATGGTCATCTCTTCAAGCAACCAAAACATGGCCTCCATGCAAGGTGCCGGTACACCTTGTATTCCCACCGCGAGGTCCACAATTCCGCACAGCTCCTCGTTAGAAAGCCCTTGTCGACTTGCATGAACGGCGGCTAGAACATGACCAAGAAGACCCTTACTATGCTGGCCTTTAATTCCAAATTCTTCAATAGTGCGTTGTACCATGTCTAACATGTGTACCACAATACGACTAGGAGATGACTCATGCCCGAGATAGATGTCAAGTTGCTCATCGACCGATAAAGCGTTAATACCTGAAAGCATCACACCTGTACGAAGCGCGATCAAGAGCATACGCAGAAACAATGGAGAAGTGGTTTTATGCGCGTCAGTGATCCGAGCACGTTGATTATCTTCCAGCACGAGCAACCTCCGATTTATCCGCTCGCTTGTTTTATTTTTTTCCTGACGATGAAGGAACTTCAAGATGATTTGTCCTCGCACGAAGGATGTTAATGGCCTCACTTGCAAAAATTGGCCTTTTCGTCTGCACAACTCTCGATAAATGCCTTCACTATGATACGAAGGCGATTTAAATATCCGTTTTAAATTTGCCTGGTGCTCATAGGCATTATTAATATTAGACTGAGCTTCACAATCATCGTAAGCAAAGTCATCAGTATATTGATTTAAATCAGTATTGTCAATTATTCCATTTACTGCAATGCTCTTATCATCAAGTACTATCCCTGCGCTCGGTGATCGTGTTATGGATAATATGAAACGCACATTGCCCGGTAAATTAGCTGGCAGCCAATGCAAAGAGCCTTGAAAAGGACCCTCTGAAGCCACAGCATTTATGCCATCGATGACAATCAGTATAATCCGCATTTGCGATGAGTTTGATGCCGCCTTTTTTGATGCTGCCTCCAGGTATCGCACCAAAGTCCAACGCATTCGGTCTTCTGTATCCGGCAGATCCATTTCACGCAATTCAAAATGTTCTTTTAATGCAGTCATTAGGCGACCCAGAAGGTCTGCGAGACGATGGCTTTTAGATGAACTTCCTACAAAGTGTTCGAAAAGGAGATCACCTCCTTGCATCTGGGCCTTTCTGCGCTCGATCCAGTTGGCCAATAGAGCACTTTTACCTACCCCTGCCATGTTTGACCAGGCAGGTATGAAAAGTTAATGCGAGAAAAAATTTCTACGACATGCCCCGCAATGTCTCCTTCAAGAACAAACTTTATGGTAACACGCGAAATCCTAAATGACGTACAACGAGCGGTGGCAGACGATTGGTGGCTTTTGGTAATCAATTTCACGACGCAATGCACACAATTTCGTCTGAGTTCCGGTTCTACCTTACCTGGCTCTCCCCACACGACTATAGGAGTATTGCATTCCTTTTCAACTATTCTGGTTTGGTTGTCTAACCAAGCATAATAGGTTGACTCGTTAGGTACGTATACGAAGTCTTCACATCGACTACAGATTTTGTTGTGTGCAGAGGTGATGGCCATAAGATACAATCCTTTAGATAATTACATGCATCTTACGTTCAAATACGAGAATAACTCACCTTGCTGAAAAAGCATAATGCTCGTTTACGTGCATCTGGTGCTTTTGGTTCTCCCTA